AAAGTGGAGCCACGTAGCGACGTGTTGTCTGGGGATCACATAATACCCTTTACTTTCATCCTACTTTCACATTTAATAGCTTGTATTTACTGTAGTACATATCCGCTACAACAATTAGCAGCGTCACTAGGGAGGTTTTTATTGATACGTTGTTTATCATACTTTAAGAATAGAAAGGGACCGCATTCCTCTCATCACACAAAGGGCAAATTGAAAATTGTTTTTGCTTTCTAAAATATATTATAATTATAAATATGAGTTTCGAAATTTAGCGAGGAAAAACATAATTACGCTTCATTTGTACATGGGAAGCACTGAGGAATGTATCTGCTGAACCAGAAGGAAAATGATTATCAGAGTCAAGAGAGAAGACATTATATGTATCGACTAAACCATTAAATTAGGTAAAAATTCAATTATAAACTAATTTTGAAATTCAGGACAACTACTGTTTTGTTGCACCCTACTGTGACTGAGGATCGCTTTTATAAGAATGGTGCTCCAGTTCACGCGTTGCCCTTCTAACTGTAGTTTCATCGTCTGTTGTGCTCAGTCTTATAACTGTGAGTACGCCCTATTGCCTTACACCTCATTATGTACAGTAATAATATTATCCGAAAGATATTGAGGTCAATTTTACACCAAATATTTGAGCAAACTTCCACAGAACCTCAGTTGTACGTGAACATCGACTATCAAAACTACGGTCAGGTGGTTAGGGCGTTTGACTTGCAATCTAAGGGTCGAATCCCTGTCCCACCAAATATGCTCGCCCTTTCAGCCGTGGGGGCGTTATAATACTACGGTCAATCCCAATATTTGTTGGTAAAAGAGTAGCCCAAGAGATGGCGTTGGGTGGTGATGACTAGCTACCTTCCCTCTAGTCTTTCACTGCTAAATTAGGAACGGCTAGCGCAAACAGCCCTCGTGTAGCTTTGCGCGAAATTAAAAACAAACAAAATCAGAACTACGATTAAGTACACCAAAGACACAAACGTCCACAGGAGATCTATTAGGGGACTTTTCAAGAGTGTAATCGAGTAGAATTAGTGTGATTTTAGTTTTTTAGCCATCTTACCCATGACAAAAAACTGTTGATTTCGAGATGTGGCTGAAAGCTTGGGAATGTTTGGCTTGTGAACCTTAGTCAGTTTCATGCCTTGTTTAATATCTTGTTAACCATAAAATGTTATATGTGGACTTTCAATTTAATGATTATTTTAGGTTGTAAGTTTCTCTTTTAAACGGAAGCTGTGCAGAAGAGGGCTTTGTTTTCCTGGATTATCTTGTAAATCCCCTTGCTACCGTGCCTTGCAAAAGTTATCACTCCCCTGTGCTGGTAATAAAATTTAGGTATTTTCTTGTGAAAGATATAACTCAAATGGCCAAAAATATTTAATATATTAATCTCAGACCAGTTTCTAAAGATTACAAAGAACAAAAGGTGCATTGTTACCCAATTTAGTGAGATAACACAAACAAATCTTGAAAACACATGTTGCGAAAGTCTTCACCCCCTCAGGTTTAACCATCATTGATTTAACTTTACGTCACTACCCTGCTAAAGTAAATACAAGTGGCTCTGTATAACTTTATCAGATACCAAAATATATCATACAGCCATGTGAAGAAATACTTGAGGTCATATAGAGCCACCAGTATTGATTTAAGCAAAGTATTTTGAAAGTTAAAATTTGGTTTACTGTTACATATTGAAAATGATGAGAAAAGTACTCTTTACAGACCTAAGGACGAATATTATTCAGAAGCACAATTCCGGAGAAGGCTATAAATCAATTTCAAACGTTCTTAATTTGCCATTAAGTACTGTAAAATCGGTTGTGAAAAAATGGAAAGTGTGTCACATTACCTCACCCTTGCCAAGATCAGGTCGCCCAATGAAAGTCTGTGCTCGAACAAGCAGAAAAATCATCAGAGCGGCGACTGTCAAGCCAACAGTGACACTGCAGGAGCTTCAGACTTCAATAGCAGCAACTGGACCATCAGCAATATCATGTACCTCACACAACAAAGAAGGGTAGCAAAAAAGAAACCACTACTGATGAAGATACATCTTAGATCGCGAATGGACTATACCCGTAAACATTTCAATAACTCTACAACAATGTGGCAGAAAGAATTTTTGTGGTTAAATAATAAATGACATGTATGGTGGAAACCCAACACTGCTCATGACCCAGCAAACACAGTCCCAACTGTCAAGCATGGTGGTGGGTCCATAATACTGTGGGGATGATTTTCTGCAAAATATATATAGATGTTGGAGGTAAACCTGAAAAAGTCAGCTGAAAAAACTAAAACTTAGTCGAAGGTTTACATATCAATAGGACAATGATCCCAAATACAGATCAAAGGAACTCAAGAATGGTTTCGAAGAAACAAAATTAAAGCCCAGACCTAAATCCACTCGAAAATCTGCGGAGAAACTTGAAAATTTGCTGTGCATCGAAGACATCCTTCCAACTTACAAGAACTGGAGTGGGCAAAAAATATCTCGAGCGTACTGTGCAAAGCTTGTGGAAGGTTATCCAAAACGATTTTCAGCTGTCATTGCTGCCAAAGGAGCTTCAACCAAATATTAACTGCAGAATCAGAGGGGGAAGACTTTTGTGTTTTCGAGAGTTTTATGTTGTTGTTATATCGCTAAAATGAGTAACAATGCACCTTTTGTTATTTGAATTCTTTAGAAATTGGTCTGAGATTAATATTATAAATATTTTTGGCCAGTTGAGTTATGTCTTTCACAAGAAAATAACTACAATTGTTTACCAGTACAGTGGGGTGAAGATTTTTGCAAGCCACTGTATGCTAAACGTTCTTATATCGGAGTGTTTTTTCGTCCTTGAAAAATGCTAATTGTACCTTTTTACACATTTTTTATCTTTGACATCTGCATCGTTTAACAATCTGACTATACGAACATCCTTCATTGAAAACAGTTATGACTACATCAAGCCTTATCTGTAGCCTTTGGTGACTGCACGTCGAATGGTCAGGAATTCACCTTGAACCAAGCACAGGCGCTATTGTATTAAATATGCAAAACGTTCTTACAGCCAAATATGATTAACCGTCCATATATCTATTGTACTAAAAAACTTACTCTTTATTTTTATCCATAGAAATTAAAATTACATGAAAATTTATTTTTAAAACTCTTTTGAAGACCAATTATAACTATATTTATTTATATAATTAAATTAGATAAAAACTTTGTAATTTGTATTTATCTGCCGCCGTCGCTAATTGTGGACTACACCAGAGGGAAGGCATCAGCCAGTCAGTAGCACTCTATCACCCACCAATCATGCTAAGAGATTGATTGTTACACTTATAAAGCATACACAGCTTAAAGTGTGAAAACTATTTTTTTATATCGCGCGGTTTTGAAGCCAGTTCGTTCGTTCCAAAATCCAGGGCTACACCACAGATTAAAACAAAACAAAATAACTGCAAACTTAAAGTTTTTTTTATTTTGAGTATAATTTTTCAAGGATATGTTTTATTACCTGAAATATTTTTCACTAAGCTAGAATGTACTTTGTATAATTACAGGGAATAAAGCTTCAAGCTCAGAATGGAAATTTTTAAATGAAGCATTTCCTACAATTATTATAACTTTCACTGAGATATAAATAAAAAACATGGAGAAAAGGCTATCATAAGGATCTAATATTGCCTCAATACGTAATACGATCTTCAAATTGCTATGCCCACCAAATCAAACAGAAAACAATTACTTGTTTGTAAATCATTAGATTTTCAAATACGCCGCTATGAAAACTTATAATTGTTCTTGAAATATTAAACTATTTCAGTCATCTGAACACTGCTGGTCGTCAGAAAAATACGGCAAGAGTTATTCTGTGGAAAAACATTTACAGTTTTTAGATCATCCAGATTTTGACGTGAAAAGTTTGATATTAGAAGATTTGGCGTAGCCCTTGCCAAGAGGATGACATAACTTATTGCTATGACATTTGATCCACTACCGAACTTGTTTTTATCACGCGCCTTTCAATCACGAGTAATAGATACGATCTACTAACAGCTGGTCGTAAAGAAAAAGAAATAAGATAAACTTGTCTGATATTGTTAACATTATTTTCTTGTGCCAAATGAACAAACTCACTGATACACTTTCATCACTGCCCGGTAAATGTAACAAAATAATTAACTAGAATGTCAGAGTCTAGTGTTGGCCATCTTAGAATACAAAATAATCGATTGGATATTTTAGTTGCATCTTATACATTTTGTATCTAAGATATCTTAAACATACAACACAACGCAACTGAAACCGTGATGTAAAAGATGTAAGTACACACATGTCAGGTTAACCCTTATGAAACGTCGCCACGTGTGTACTTATTTCTTTCATACAACATTTTTTTAATTTGTTGTTAATTGCTACACAATGAGTTGTGTGTTCTGTGCCTAGAACACTAATACTAATTATCGAAACCCAGTTTTCCGCGATATAAACCTTCAGACTTATCGCTAAGACACGTATACTGTTAGGAGGACAGCACTTTACTGAGTATAAATAGTAAAGTGTAAATAGCTTTAAAATATTTCTTCTTAATAAAATATATCAAAATGTTAACGATTTCTAATTTTGTAAACGTAGCACAGATATTCTTACTATTACTTACTTCTCATTTAACAACCCACATCCCAAATTGTTGCTTTAATCGAAAGATTGAACAATATATCTATCAATGGATTCAACATATGATATTTTTATTATATTTCTAAGATATTCTCACTAACATTACTCATTACGGAGAACGCAAATTCTTAGATCTCACTCCAAACAAACAGTGCAAAAATAAAAATTTTCATTTTTATAAAATATTATTTGCTTTACGTCTCTAATTTTAATATGTATATAAAAAGCCATACCTATGGTAACACGTTCTTGTTATATATATATTATTCGTGTTTAAATAACAACAGACAATTGTTGTGTTTTATAGATATCATTGAAGGTTTATCTGGAGGAAAGATTGAGCTTCCGTGTAACATGACCTCCTCTCCATCAAATGACAAAGCTGTCCTAGTCCTCTGGTATAAGGATAATGTGCTGATTCCAGTCTATACTTTCGATGCAAGAATAGGTCCACTTTGGCAGGGAAGACACTCGTCAAGCGACAATTTGGCAGGTCGGGCTTACCTTACAACTGTAAATAGTCCTGCTAAACTTGTCATTGAGCCAATCACTCTTTCAGACCGTGGATCATACCGTTGTCGAGTGGATTTCAACAAAACAAGGACAAGTTATACTGATAGCGTCTTGAAGGTCATTGGTCAGTGGTCAGTGATATCATGATGTATTTCTTAGACAATGCCCATTATAAGAGACACCGGTCGTTGTTTACAATATGACTTGATTGGTGAATTTCTTCACTTATTCAAGCTATCATAATCACATAATTTAAACAGTTTCATAAAAATAGTGTCCAGCTGTGATTTCAAGTAAACAGTACTCTGAAAAATTGGTAATGTAAAATATGTCGAGCAGTAAGTTCAAGTAAACATTACTGTGAGAAATTGTTAATGAAAAATAGTGTCTACCCATGATTTGAAGCAAACACTATTCTGAGAAATTAGTAAAGTAAATAATGCCTAGCCGTGATTTAAAGTAAACAGTTCTTTCAGAAATTGGTAAATTAAAATAATGTGTAGCCGTTATTTCAAGTAAACAGTACTCTGAGAAATTCGTAAAGTAAAACAATGTATAGTTGTAATTTCAAGCGAATAGTACTCTGAGAAATTGGTAATGTAAAATACAATCTCGCTGTGATTTAAAGTAAACAGTACTCTGAAGAATAGGTAATGTAAAATAGTGTCTAGTCGTTATTTCAAGTAAACAATACTCTGAAAAATGGGTAATGTAAAATAGTGTCTAACGATGAATTCAACTAAACAGTACTCTGAAAAATTGGTAATGTAAAATAGTGTCTAACGATGAATTCAACTAAACAGTACTCTGAAAAATTGGTAATGTAAAATAGTGTCTAGCCATGATTTGAAGCAAACAGTACTCTAACAAATTGGTAATGTAAAAAAGTGTCTAGCCGTTAGTTCAAGTAAATAATACTCTCAGAAATTGGTAATGTAAAATGTTGTCTAGCCGTTATTTCAAGTAAACAATACTCTGACAAATTAGTAATGTAAAATAATGTCTATCCGTGATTTCAAGTAAACAGTACTCTGAGAAACTGTTAAATGTAAAATGGTGTCTAACCTTGATTTTAAGTAAACAGTAGTCTAATAAATTGGTAATGTAAAATACAATTTCGCCGTGATTTAAAGTAAACAGTACTCTGAAGAATAGGTAATGTAAAATAGTGTCTAGTCGTTATTTCAAGTAAACAATACTCTGAGAAAATGTTAAATGTAAAATAGTGTCTAGCCCTTATTTCAGGAAAACAGTACTCTGAGAAACTGTTAAATGTAAAATATTGTCTATCCGTGATTTCAAGTAAACAGTACTCTGAGAAACTGTTAAATGAAAATAGAGTCTAGCCATGATTTCAAGTAAACAGTACTCTGAGAAATTGGTAACGCAAATAGTGTGTAGCCGTGATTTCATATAAACAGCACTCTGAAAAATTGGCAATGTGAAATATGTCTAGCCGTGAGTTCAAGTAAACAATACTTTGAGAAACTGTTAAGTGTAAAATAGTGTCTAGCTATAATTTCAAGTAAATAGTATTCTCACAGATAGTTAATGTAAAATAATGTCTAGCCGTGATTTCAAGTAAACAGTACTCTGAGAAATTGTTGAACATAAAAGTGTCCAGCCGTGATTTCATATAAGCAGCACTCTGAAAAATTGGCAATGTAAAATATGTCTAGCCGTGATTTCAAGTAAACATTTCTCTGAGAAACTGTTAAATGTAAAATGGTTTCGAGCAGTGAGTTCAAGTAAACATTACTGTGAGAAATTGTTAATGAAAAATAGTGTCTCCCCGTGATTTCATGTAAACACTATTCTGAGAAATTAGTAAAGTAAATAATGCCTAGCCGTGATTTTAAGTAAACAGTACTTTCAGAAATTGGTAAAGTAAAATAGTGTCTAGCCGTTATTTGAAGTAAACAGAACTTTGAGAAATTCGTAAAGTAAAATAGTGTCTAGTTGCGATTTTAAGTAAACAGTACTCTGAGAAACTGATAAATATAAAATGGTTTCTAGCCATGATTTCAATTAAACAGTAGTCTGAAAAATTAGTAATGCAAAATAGTGTGAAGCTGTGATTTCATATAAACAGCACCCTAAAAAATTGGTATAGTGTCTAGCCGTGATTTCAAGTAAACAGTACTTTGAGAAACTGTTAAATGTAAAATAGTGTCTATCCGTGATTTTAGTAAACAGTAATCTGAGAAATTGTTAATGCAAAATAGTGTATAGCCCTGATTTGAAGTAAACAGTACTCTGAAAAATTGGTGACGTAAAACAGTGTCTAACGATGAATTCAAGTAAACAGTACTCTGAAAAATTGGTAATGTAAAATAGTGTCTAGTCATGATTTGAAGTAAACAGTACTCTAAGAAATTGGTAATGTAAAAAAGTGTCTAGCCGTTATTTCAAGTAAACAATACCCTCATAAATTAGTAATGTAAAACAGTGTCTAGACGTTATTTCAAGTAAATAATACTCTGATAAATTAGTAATGTAAAATAATGTCAGCCGTGATTTCAATAAACAGTACTCTGAGAAACTGTTAAATGTAAAATAGTGTCCAGCCTTGATTTTAAGTAAATAGTAGTCTGAGAAATTGGTAATGTAAAATACAATCTCGCCGTGATTTAAAGTAAACAGTACTCTGAAGATTATGTAATGTAAAATAGTGTTTAGTCGTTAGTTCAAGTAAACAATACTCTGAGAAACTGTTAAATATAAAATAGTGTCTAGCCCTTATTTCAGGAAAATAGTACTCTAAGAAACTGTTAAATGTAAAATATTTTCTATCCGTAATTTTAAGTAAACAGTTCTCTTAAAAATGGTATTGTAAAATAGTGTCTAGCCATGATTTGAAGTAAACAGTACTCTGAGAAATTGGTAACGTAAAATATTGTCTAGCCGTTATTTCAAGTAAGCAATACTCTCATAAATTAGTAATGTAAAATAATGTCTAGCCGTGATTTCAAGTAAACAGTACTCTGAGAAACTGTTAAATGTAAAATAGTGTCTAACTGTGATTTTAAGTATACAGTACTCTGAGAAATTGGTAATGCAAAATAGTGTGTAGCCGTGTTTTCATATAAACAGAACTATGAGAAATGGATAATGTAAAATAGTGTCTAGCCGTGAATTCAAGTAAACAATACTCTGAGAAACTGTTAATTGTAAAATAGTGTCTAGCCGTGATTTTAAGTAAACAGAACTCTGAAAAATGGGTAATGTAAAATAGTGTCTAGCCGTGATGTTAAGTAAACAGTACTCTAAGAAATTGGTAATGTAAAATAGTGATTAGCCCTTATTTCAAGTAAACAACACTCTGAGAAATATGTATTGTAAAATAATATCTAGCCGTAATTTCACGTAAACAGTACTCTGAGAAATTAGTAATGCTTCTAATTACTAATGCTTCCGTATGTCAAACAGAAGCGCAAGTATAGCTGAAAGGTCCTAATATAGTTTTGTATAAATTACTATTGTAATCTCTTTTTTAAATTATACACATATAAAGCACTCAGAAATCAAAGAGTTGTGAAATTCTGCCAACCAGTTAAAGTTGGTAATATGAAAATTTGGTAATATTTGGTAATTTTGTGTTTTAGAATATAATACATAAAACTTCATAATGTAATGTAAATTACATATGGTACAAGAAGTTACTTTTAAAAAATTATTATCTTATCTCATAAATATCATTAGAGTAATTACCTGTATTTATGTTATTTAGCTCCTGTCCTTGGAAATGCCTCTCATTAACAAAATCTAATTATGTCTTGCAATATTTCCATTTAGCTATGGGCACATCCAAGTTGTTCAGTTCTTTGATTTTCTGTTTGACTCCTGATGCTTGTTCAAAAATTATTTATTAAATTTTGGTATTATTTTAATTTCCTTACCATACACACTTTTCCCAAAAATGCTGTTTATGGGATTGATTTAAAAACTGATGTTACATAAAAATATATACAAATATAAATATATGGTTAAAATTTAAGTAGAATTTAAAGTTATTAAACATAAACTTCTAGCAAATAGTTTGTCTCTAAATCCTTATTTTTTATTTTCTTGCTTCTAGTCCTTTTGGAGAATTTATACTCATATTCATTTATTGTCTCTTGCGTGTCCCGTTGCCGCAAAAAATGAGCTCTGTTCTTCGGGTTGGTGCGAGCACTATATGATAGACGGTCAAATTTCACTATTCGATCAGACAAGAGTAGCTCTATATTAGGAACGCAAATAGCCCTCTGTGTACATCTGCGCAAAAATTCTGAAACAAATAAACTCTCTTGTTTATAGAAGAGTTATGAGTTGAAAATGTTTGGAAGAAGGTTTGTGACGCAAATGTTGCTTAAATTATATTAAAATTTGTTTCTGTTAGCCTAGTTCGTATTTCACCGGAAATAAGGTAATTCTGTTAAAATTATTATTAAGCAATAATACGATGGCTTTAGTTAGCTACTCTGTATCTATTTAATGTCAATATTTGTTAAAGTAATATAAAAAGAAGAAACTCTGTTTTGATTTTTTGAAACTATTTATAGTTCTGTGATAACATTAACCATGACTTTTCAGTTTCCTACTACAATAAATATAATGAGAAATTCGACCGAGAGTTGTTCTTTTTTTAACACAGATTCTATAAAATAGTTTTATTTTCTATTAGAAAGATAACGCCTTCACTTATTTTCGTTCCGGATACTCCTGTTTATACAAAAATAAACTTTATTATATTTATAATAATATAGATAGAGATGAAAAACTAAGGCATCCAATACCTTTTGAACAAAATTCCAAACTTTTTCTGATTAACCATTCATAAGATGCACATACTCCCTATTGTTAATGAGTATGTTATGGTTGATCTTTAGAATCAGCTGGAATAGATATTGCATAGGTTTTAGAAAATAATTTTAGAGACTATGTTGGTTGACTGGCTTTACTACTGAAAGGTTGTTGTTTTTCGTCGTTCAAAACTAATAAATGGGCTATCTGCTCTATATCCACCGCTGATAATTGAGCCTCAGAGTTTAGCACTGGAAGTACATAAACTTACCGCTTACCTACAGGGGACACCACTGAAAGATCACATTATATTGCATTGTAAAATTACGCATTAAACGTATCATGGTTATGTTGTGTATGGTCATTATTTTGGTTAGTTAGCTGTGTAGTGAGATATTTTTATACAATAACTAAGAACTCCCCACGGCAATTATTTTTAATACATTAAAGAAAGCATAATAAAATAATTCATGATTTAAATGATCAAATTAATCTTCTATTTCTTTTTGTACAAAGTTGAAACAATATTTTACATCAAAAGCGATTATACTTAGTTGGGAGTAGAAACAAAAGTTCCTTTATATATATCTTAATATGTTTGCATTTTTCTATTTAATCGTATAAAGTTACAATAATACTGATGTTTGAATTTTTAATGTCAATGTCACATTTCAAAGTGCTAGTTTTTAAACCTACAAATATTTCTTATTTCTTGTTAGGTGAAATTATTCTGATTCATTAAACTGAAATATATTATTGACTGTGTTTATCAGTTTTCTAACAAACTAGTAGAACTTACATTTATTTATAATATGTTCTTCTATTTCGTATGTTAATCATAACTGTCAAATACACAACTTTACTGTTTTGTATTATTTCAAATTATCGTTCATTTGTTGAACGAACACCAAATATTTAGCCTTTGCGAAGGTAGTTAGAAAGGAACGGAATAACCTATTAATATAACGTTAATTACTTTCCAAAATTTGACATGCTAAGAATATTTCAATTATATCCAAGGACAGTTCTAGTAAACTTTACAATTTCTGTTAAAAGTTCATTCACCAGTGTAACATATACCATATGAATGCTAATTTGCCCTTTGAAACGAATTTATCTAATGATAATCAGCAGATTTTAATGGATCAGTCTATCTATCTTTCAGCTAACATTTCTTTACTACATTCTTACAATTCAAGAAGCTTGTATCATAACACTTTTAGCAATATCTTTCTGAAAATTTCTATACTGTACTGTTCAAAACATGTGTGTGAGTTATTAATTGTTAGATGATTTATTATCTTAATTGTATTTCTCTCTACTTTACACATTAGATTAAAGTTATAAGTCTGGAATTCCTGCAGTGCAATTCAATTAATAAAATGTTGAGATAGTAAAGCATGCGATTAACGTTCAAATATCGTTCGAACAGAGAACATACTATCATGAAAAAATCGGTGTTTTTGTTTTGTTTTTAATTGTATTTTACTTGTTAATCATTTATTACTTATTTTGGAAAATGAACATATTTTATTTTGCTAATTACAAATTCTAGTCTCACGTGTTCTAATCTAACGGTTTTACGAAATTAAGTTTCAATGTTACCCCAAATGATTTATATAATGAGAAAACTGTGATTGAGAATGTAAAGTCAGTCAAATGGAATTGTGACACCAAATTCCGCTAATATAAAAAAAATATTCAAATTGTTGATGGTTTTAACGCCTTTCTAAGATGGCGAAACACGATTATAATTAATTATATTTGTCAGATGCTATTAGTTGTTGGCTAATTATATATAAACACTGCATTCTGTATTTCAGTTCCTTAGGGTTTTTCAAGAAAAAGAGCTCAGAATAGTATTTCAATCTTAAGTAGTTCAATCCTAAGGGACTGTTTAGTTTAGTTTCTTTCAATCTAAGGAGAAAAACAACACAATGGGCTATCTGTGCTCTACCCACCACGGATATCGAAACCCGGACTCTAGCGTTGCAAGTCCGCAGGCATACCGTTGTGCCCCTGGGGGAGGGGGCTAAGGGACTGAATAAAGATTTTAGCGTTAAAAATATAATATGTTTAATACTAATAACTTATGACAAGTAAAAATCATCCATTTTTAAACTGTATATGATTTTGAGAATTTTCTTTGATTAATTACGGATATACAAATCTTTTCTTTACCTTATTTTTCAAATCATTTAAAACTGTTTACTTTTCTTGTATGGCTAAGTTATTTCATTGTTACTGACTGTTTTCTAAATTTTTAAACAAATATTAACATAGTCTGTTATAGTTAATCATTTATATTCAAATTTTAAACCTGTGAGAAGAACAGTTGCGTGCAGTAAAATTTCTAGAATACTTGAAAATATCTTAAAATTGATACCAGTTCTTCTAATAGATGCTGTCTTATTTATAAGTTTAAGATCTATAAAAATACATCCTTATGTATGGCAAGGTTAAAATATGTTGTTCTAAAACAATATCTGAACTTTGGATGTTTACATCTATAGTTTTCCTTCAGGGATAACAAATTTTGAAGTGAAAAACATTATATATGTCATAACCAAAAACGGTTTTTAATGCTAGCGTCTCAGAATTATGGAAATTTATTTTTTATTTTGTGAAAATGCTTTTGTTGTCGCTGCTGTTAAACTTCTTGTTGCTTCTAATAGTACGTTTAATTTAATAAAACTCAGAACAAATTATTTATTGATTACTTATTTAATTACTTTTCCATGCTAATTATGAATATCGTAACCAACTTTCATATTAAATATTTTGAATCGAAGTACTTCTAAAACATTCTTAGTTATTTGTTTAATATGGTACCCAGTAACTTCAGAGCTAATTGATCTAATTTGAATGTCTATTATGTAAACTTAAATAAATATATTATTATGTAACATATCGCTTGATGCCTGGGAAGAGTGATCAGTAGATAAGCGACTTTTCTGTTCTTATGTTATAGTACGACTAATAATAATTTTAAAAAATATTTATCAAACGTATTATGATTTAATAAAAAAATTAATATTTTCTGTTTGAAATCGATATGTTTCCAATTAAAATATGACTGCAATGGTATCTATAGTTTGATAAATTTACATGAATTATAGATGACGTAACACTTTCCTGGTTATTAGATTTGTTTGTTATATGTTTATTTTGAATTTCGCGCAAAGCTACACGAGGGCTATCTGCACTAGCCGCCCCTAATTTAGTAGTGAAAGTCATCACCACCCACTGCCAACTTTTGGGCTACTCTTTTACCAACGAATAGTGCGATTCACCGTAACGTAATAACGCCATAACGCCACCACGGCTGAAAGGGTGAGCATGTTTGGTGTGACGGGGATTCGAACCAGCAACTTACGAGTCGAGCGCCCTAATCCATGTCAGGCCTCCAGATTATTAAAGATCATTTGCATTTTTAATATATTTTAATATGAATTAGAACATACCTTGTTACAGTCCCAACAAAACACTAAAGTTTTAACAGCAAATGAGCGCAATAAGAAATAAGATGTCAAAAATGACATTGAGTTGTAAAATATTATTTATTAAAAAAAAAACAGTTCACATAATTAGCTCAGAACTTTCACACTCATTATCGTGTTCTAATTTCAAGTCTTGTTTATATTTTTTGTGGTTAAAGTTGTGTTGAAAGCTTGAGTTTGCAGTTGAGTACCGTATTATACAATTGTAATACGGAAATATTACAAAAACACATCGAAACTATATTTGTTTGACATGCAGTTTTAAGTAGAAATGTTATAACTATTTCCAGTATTGCCATCAAAACCTGTGATAAAAGATGAAAATGGGAATAATCTTGAAAGCCTTATAGGACCATACAACGAGGGCGAACCTTTAAAACTTTCATGCGAAGTAATTGGAGGTAATAGATATTCTTGTATGTATCTGTTTGTATTAATGACCGTCAGAAGTTCATGTCATTATGATGAGTAAAGAATGGTGTGGCAAACAATTCTAACGAAATAATGAAAAAAGTGTTCAAAATTGGTAAAAACACACGTCTATGACAAAATCTTTATATTATCTTGCAACGTTTCAGGACGTGGTACACGTAATTTAGAATATCTTTATATTCTAACCCTTCAACGATTCTATTTAAGCCTTTTTTTCAATGTAACACGGTTTAAACTGCCTGACGAAGGGCTTTTGCCCAAAACGTTGAAAATAAATATAAAGTTTTTGTCATAGACGTGCGTTTTACCAATTTTGAACACTTTTTTTGCATTATTTCATTATTTTTCACGTCTTGCGGTCTGTGTGTTCTTTCTAAACAATTCTAACGGACACGGTTTTTGGTTACAAGATGTTTATCGAACAACTTTTCGTCTGTGTCTGACAGAAACAAATTAAAGAGACAACTCGTTCACTGATCTTTTACTCTCATCATTGCCTGAACAGTCGCTCAAAAGTTAATACTATAGGATTCTAGACAGCGTATGATTACAAACAGGAAAGGCATAGATGGCTAAGTATGACATTAAAGAGTTTGTTTGCTTGTGTTTTGTTTTTAGCTACAGTTAGTTAAGATATATTGTTGTGGTGACCAATATTTATCAATATTCACAACAACTTTTTTCTCAACTGTAATTATTTTCGTTATCAAATCTCACTAAAAGAAAAATAAATCTGACAAGAGACATCTTTAAATAAAATGATCCAGAGTCACAGCCGTATTAACCAAAAAGGCACAGTGGGCAGTTGTTTATGAGCCCACAGTGTCAAGGGGCTCACAGTGGCTATGTTTTTTTTAATTTTAGTAAAGTTGGAAATTGTTGTATTTTAAAGCAGTATATTTGGTAAATGTTAATTTTAATTATTATAATAAAAGGGTACCCACAAAATTTTAATTTCCTATAAGCCAATCGTGGTCTTAATCCGTCCCTGTGTGGAAAAACAAGGTAATGATTTATAGTACTTATAATTCTTAACTAATTATGAATGCATCAATTCAACACTTAAAATTTAAAAAATCGTTAGCCACACAGTCTTTTAACAAAAGAAATTATTCTAAATGTGTACACAACTTTTTCAGGCATTCCAATACCGACTGTAACTTGGTGGCGAGAAACGATCCTATTGGACGACACTGCAATAAAGAAGAGAATAGGTCCAATTGTTAATGAAATGTCGATACCAATGTTGAAGCGTCACCATTTGATGGCGACATTTACTTGTGTAACTTCAAATAATAATATATCTTCTCCATTATCAACAGTTGTAACAGTTGACATGAATTGTAAGTAGATCATGTTTGAGATTTAAAAAACAAAAGATAGTAATAGCATGTCATGCAACCATCACCATGTGGAACATTGTAACTATGTCACCGTTAAATGACATGATTATTTTATAGGATGTTTTCTTTGTTTGAATTGGGTATTCTTGTATCATATTATCGCGTAGTGTGTAGAATGTTCTAGGCCTCTGTCAGTCTATAAAAGTGCGTACGAAATGTAGTTCAAGTAAGATAGACAATTAGTTAGTTAGATAGGTAGATAGAGCTAATTTGTGTGTTTATCAGTTTCGCCATAAATATCGTATAGTGACGATTTTTAAAGTGAATTATTATAGATTGTGTTGTAATAACAGAGTAGAGAAGAAATAATTTGTCTTCTCAATTCTGTTCTGAAGTAACTGAATTAACCTGTGTTGACTTTGACGAAAAGAGATGATTATTTAAAGCTCTGAATACAACTATGATAATCAACTGTGTAACAAACATTTGTTTATACGTTTGACTTGTTTTAATGTATTATTTTAGAACAATTGGATTGTGTTCTGTTTGTTTATTGTTTAAATTTATCGCCAACAAGTCACAGACACATACTTTAAAGAATCCAGCCCATACATACATATGTAATTTGTTTGTAATTAAGCACAAAGCTACACAATGGGCTATCTGTGCTCTGTCCACCACGGGTATCGAAACCCGGATTCTAGAGTTGTAAATCCGCAGACATACTGCTGTGCCACTGGGGGGGCTACTTTTAAATTATCAGGAATACTAGGAACGAAATAACATTTTACCTCCTGTACACCAGCTATATCAAATTACAGCCAATTAACATACATCAATTAGGGCCCGGCATGGCCAGGTGGTAAGGGCGCTCGACTCGCAGTCTGCGGGTCGCAGGTTCGAATCCCCGTCACACCAAACATGCTCGCCATTTTAGCCGTGGGGGCGTTATAATGTGACGGTCAATCCCACTATTTGTTGGTAAAAGAGTAGCCCAAGAGTTGGCGGTGGATGGCGATGACTAGCTGTCTTCCCTCTAGTCTTACACTGCTAAATTAGGGACGGCTAGTGCATATAGCCCTCGTGTAGCTTTGCGCGAAATTCATAAACAAACAAACAATACACCAATTATGTTAACAATACGGGAAATTAGATATTGCTTTTTAATACAGTTAAATACCTTGTATTTCCTGCATAGTTACGTAAGTTTCAACTTTGCAATACACTTAATTTCCACGGTCACGCTATAACTTAAACAACGCTATAATTCACAACAAACGAACTCACGCGCTCGACCCTACTGTCCGTCTCTATCTCTGTCTGCAATTCAACTACATTGTTGCTGTCAGTTCTTAGCGGTCTTACATACAAGAATACCGAAATCTAGTAAACACTCGAGGCTTCACGAACCTTCGAGAATATGACGTGTTACTAGCGTCACATGACCCCCGCTGTCGTATCACTGCCCCTACCTTAGTATTGTTCGTTCCGAACAATAGCCACTTTCATTAAAACAATAACTTAATTAAATGTACAGAACTTACAAACACAAAATGAAAATTCAACAAAGTCTCTTAATTTTACGGGACGTATCTTCTTCTGTACTGGTCTCCACCTCGTTAGCTTCTGCTTCATGTGGGGTTCATCTGCTTCATCAGGAAACGTCCTATCATTGGTAACAGTCACATCAGTGGTAGTAACTTCATGAAGGGCTTCACTGTTTCCCTTCTCAAAACCAAGTAGAGTTTCTTCTTTGACAGTGGCCTTTCCAGGTGACACGTCTTCAGTGGCGCCTTTTGTTCAGTTGTTCACTTCGTCCCAACTGAAATGTCCTGGATCGTGATAATGCCAAAGCCTGTTGGCATGCACCACCTTTGGCTTACCTCACTGACCACATTTTATTCGGAAAGTCACGTCTGAGAGACGATCCACAACGTCATATGGGCCTTCCCATGGAGAAGACAACTTAGGAGACTTCCCTTTTGTCTTCCTGGAGTTATACAACCACACCTTGTCTCCTGGTACAAAGCTGACTTCAGTAGACTTCTTATCAAAACATAGCTTCATCGAATCAGCAGACGTTTTTAAGTTTGAACGCACTTGATGATGAATATCATCCATCCTTTCAGATAACACTTTCACGAACTCTGGCACATTTTCAGTGAGCATCCTGTTATCAGGTCCACTGGCAACTGAAGTTCCCGACCAAACATCAGCTTTGCTGGAGTGTATTCAGTGGCTTCATGCTCTGCTGTTCTAAAGGCCATCAACAGTGGGGGGAGTAAGACATCTCAGTCATCTTGGCGGCTATTACAATACTTTGCCAATTCCTGTCCCTGTGTCTAATTGTACTTTTCTACCATCCCATCAGACTATGGGTTGAGTGGCATTGTTCTGG